GCTTGATTCCGCGTGAGTTCTTGCAAACACTTAGGTCTCCCTTCTTCGGGAGTTTGACAAGGTGACCCTTCTTCCAATCGCCAGGTACCTTTCCTTCCTTCCTTCCAGACCTTCTGCAGTAGTGGTGTGAGTATGTCCGCTGTTGTTTCTGCATCTGCTCTCAGTGCTTATGGCGGGATTCCGTCTCGTCCTGCTGCTTTCCGACATTTCAGTAGCCTTATGGCGCTCAGGACTCCCACTTTTGTTGGAGGATTTATGTTCACTTGTGGTTCTGTGGCTGCAGGTGGTATTTCTGGACGAAGTGCAGCTGATGGTCGATTCAAGAGCTTCTTGAAGTGGTCGGCCCGTTGTTTCCTTTGTTTCTCCTCTTTGGTAACTAGCTTTCCGTCATCACTTTTTATTGGTTTCATCTGTGTTGATCTCTTCCCTCCCAGATAGTAACCTGGTTATTTGATACAATGTTGTCAGGTCTCTCCTACCAGCAGCCTGTTCTGCTCCACTTGCCACTGTGTCGTAGAAGTGTCTTTTGTCTTTGCACGGACTCTTCTTCACTTCTTTGTCCAGTGTTTTATACATTGTACTCAGTTGCTCTTCTCGTTGTGCATCCTTGCACTAGTTTATCTTCTGCTTCACCATCTTCCTCTCCCTCCTTTATCAGCTTCCATATGTCCATCGAGATCCATTCCTTATCTTCTTTCCTCTTTCTTTTTCCTTCCTAATACGGTTATGCAGGTTTCTTTCCACATAGCTTCCAAAGACTTCCAGTGTTCTTCTACACAGGTTTCTTCAGGGATGTTGCTCGATATCTCCCATTTTGTCTTGATGGCTGACGCGAAGATTTCATTTGTAGTTTCGTCCTTCAGTTTCCGAGTGTTGTACTTGAACTGTGGTCTATCACCAGCTTCCTTGAAGGCTTTTAGCTTGATTCGGAAGGTTCCTTGCACTAGACAGTGAGTGGTCTGAACCTACATCTGCTCCTCTTCTTGACCTTGTGTCAAGTAGACTGCGTCTCCATTTTCTTGAGATTGAGATAAAGTCGATCTGATTTTTAGTGTGTCCATCTGGTGAAATCTATGTCGCTTTGTGGATATCCTTGTGCTTGAACACACTACCTCCAATCACCAAATCGTTGAATGCACACAATTCTGCAAACAATTCTCCATTCTCACTCACCATTTCACCGAGTGGTACTTCTAGACCCATGGTTTGTTCTCTTCCTGTGTTGTCCCCTCCCAGTTTGGCATTCATGTCGCCACACCCGTTAGAATTTTGATATCGCCAACTGACGTCTTGTCCAGTGTTGATTGCAGTTGTCTGTAGAATTCCTCCTTTTTCTCTTCATCTACATTATTTGTAGGTGCGTAGCATTGTACGATTGTGACCTTCCTTCCTTTTGAGTTTTACCTTGCTGTCATGATCCCGGAGAAGATTAGTTCCCACTGCATGAGAGAGAGCCTTCGATGTTCTTGAGGACATCATGATAGCCACTCCATAACTCAGTGTGCTGTGCTCGTGGTTGTCGTCTGGGTGACAATATCGGAGTAGATTATTGATTCTCCAGTTGACAGTTTGGAGAGTCCACTTCCATTCCATCTGCTTTCGCAAATTCCTAACACTTCAATGTGATACCTTCTCATCTCGTTTGAAATCTGGGCTGCCTTGTTAGGTTCAAACATGGTGCGGACATTCCATGTCCCCATGTTTACTTTCGCTTTCATCGAGGGAGAGAAGACACATCGGCCAATTGGCTTCCCGAAGGCTTTCACCGACCGGCGTCATTTCGCCTGTCCGATTCCAGCGAGGAATAATTTTGTTTTTATTTTTTATATTTTGTTTGTGCTTTGAAGTTTCTTTGGCGGTTGGATTGGTTTTAAGGGGTAGGGTTGCTAGCCCTATGCCCAACCTTCCCTCTTTACCCGGGCTTAAGACCGGCTAGTAACTAGTGAACTAGTGAACCAGGCGAGGTTTACACTATAATAGTAACTGCTTTTTTGTCTTAACACTATCCGGCTGATGTTTCTGGTTTGGTAGGATGTTGATGTGACAAGTATTCTACCAAGATGGTTCGCAGGGTCATTGTAATATACAGGGGTGACCACCACGTCAGGGAAGCAGCTACCGGTCGGAAGAGGATAATCAGTTGATGAGGTTGTGGATTTTCATCGATTGATGTGGTTGAGAGGTGTACTATGCATGGCTGGTCACCGTCTGCTTGGTTGCACAATGTTACCTGAAGTAGGTTTAGGAGGGAAAAAGGTTAGAGACACCATGCTAAAACGCACCATCAGTCCATGAAATCTCTAACAGTTGATCTGAAGCGCGTAGGACAAGCTAAACATTACGTGAAAACCAAAACCTATGGTTAGAGACATTAGGTAGCAAGACACGGAATCAATCTGAGGCGTGTAGATTGATCGATACATAACTTGAATCGTAATGGTTATATTACATTTCGTTATTTATTTCACCTTCTCTTGATTATGTTTTCTTCCTGTCTTTCATCCTGTTGCCTTGTGTGTTGATTTAGGGTATAGCGACTTGGACTGTTGTGCATTAGTGTGAGGTTCCATTTTGATACTGACTGAGTGATTGGCAGTTACTGTATTACTTTAAAAGTTGATACCATCTATTGGAATACTTCGACTAAATTCAGAAATCTGCAAGAACAAACTGTTAGGTGCTTGACTACTGACTGACCTTCAAAACATGGACAGAACACTGGATCTGGTTTTATTGTTATCATTACCATTACAAAGCGATTTCGTTGTAACCGACCATCACTTCATTTTAGCGGTCGAACGACATTTTGTATAGCGTGTTGCATTACCTTCATATCAGAAACACGATTCTGACCGTTTTTCAACAATGCAACAAGTTATCCAACGCAGATAGTACTTACCTGGGATGCACGTAGATAGGGGCCTATACATACTTTGAATAATGAAGCCATTATATCATGGTAACATCACTTTTTTTCAAAAAACCAAACATTTGTTCATCTACTTACTGATTTGCTACGGGAAAATGACGATATGAGGGAAATGCATTAGTTATTTAACAAGAATTGATAACTGAAACTGTACTATCCAAAACACTATCCTACCTCTAGTCATCAAATTTCGTTATTATTTCCCATGGCTTCTGCAGTCTGAAGAAGTTTTAGGCGTACACCTTTCATGAGATTTGCACGAACTCAATAGATGACACTTGGAAATTTAGTTATATTGAGCTGTATACCTTCATGCAACTTATGCTTGTTTGTAGTTAGGTATACTTCAGTGGTTAAATTGTGTTTTCTCTTACCACCTGATAAAATTATCCTCAGACTAAACGGAAAACTTGGTAATCTTCTTTTTACAAAGTTAGATACTTATTTTAAGTGCTCTTTGGCTTAGGCATCTTTTTATATGGAACAGTGCCTCATTCGGAGTGGGAATTTTAGCCGACCAGTGCCTAAGTACTGGTAATATATATAAGATTATTATTCCTATGAGATAGTTCAAGGTGATGTCAATAAGGACTTTTGATCCAGATTCATCGCTTTACCACACTTATTAACGAGATAACAACCTGTAACCACTATAAGGGGACTTATTTTCTGAGATAGGAATGTGTATCAGTCAACAGAACCGTAGTTATAGACATTACTGGACAACTGCCAACAAAGTTCAGCCATCCATACATCCATCCAAATCAACATAGGACCAGGCATTACTGCGTAACGGTCCAAGTTGCCACATCTCATATCAGGGTATCAAGTAGAAAGGTAGTGAGGTGAAAGATGAAGATAAGAAAATTCAGTCAGAAGAAGTATAAAGTACGAAAAGAGAGAAAGGAAGAATGAGAGAATAGTGAGATTAGGTATAGCGTCGTTAAGATGAGGACAATGTGTGCGTACATCTGCACCACTGACATCGGTTCTCAGCCATATGATCACCTAGAGTCTCCAACCACTGGTTCCTCTTGTCCCGCGGACCCCAACCAACCAGTAGTCTGCATCGCCCCATATGGCTCAAACCAACAGTCAGAGACTTCATACCTCAATGCCACATTTTAGTCTGGCTACCTCGGGCCTTTTCCCAGTCTGAACCTACTTTGGCCAACATTGTGTGACGAGGCAATCGGTGACTAGGCATACGTAACACGTATCCCAACCATCTCAGTCGATGAAGGTCCGTAACCTCGTCAAATGACTTACCCCTTCTCCCTAAAACTCTACACCTGACTTCTGCATTACTCACGTGGTGACACCACAGGATACGGCCTATACTACGAAGGCAATGGTGGTCAAACACTTGAAGCCTTCTCATGTCTTCCATCTTCAATGGCCATGTTTCACAGCCATGCAGTAAAACAGAGAGGACTGTTGTGCATATGCAGTACACGCAACCCTTAATAGACAATCGGATATCACGGCGGCGCCACAGGTGGAGTAAGTTGACGAAAGCCAGCCAAGCCTTTTGTATTCGTGCAGAGATTTCATCGACCACTGAGCCACTATGGCTGATCCTACTTCCCAGGTAAGTGAAGTGGTCAGCACAATCAACCACTACACTGTCTATTGTTAGCCGAGGCACTGTTGAAGACCAATCCTGAGGCAACAATTTGCATTTGGATGATGAGAAACGCATCCCAAACATTCTCAAATTGTCCAGAAGACTGCATCTTGTCCGCGTCTTCACCCAACAGGACTATGTCATCTGCATATTGTCAGTCTCGCGAAAATTCTCCTGCGACTAGGTCAACCTTTATGTAGTCAGGTGACGAGAGGGAGACCTCCGTTAGAATATCTACGGTAAAATTGAATAAGAATGGAGAGAGTGGGCACCCTTGACGGACACCGCTCTCCGGAAAGTTCTCCAAGAAACTTCAGCGGCGGTATTGTACTGAAATCTATAGAAAAGGATGCAACAGAAATAAGTATAACTTAATCCACAGAATTAAATCATTTTTGTTATTTTTCTTTAAAAATTCACATTTAATTTATTTTATAAACTTACAACGAAGGATCAGTGTTGAAACCAATCACCGGTTTATTGGGATGTAAAATTTTACTGGCGCCTAGAAGAAACGTTCCATCCCCACCAGCAGTAAAAACAACATCAGCCCAACTAACAGAATCCAGTGAATAACTACGACGATCCACGACATGCACTTTTAAACCATGCTCTCTAATATGGATCAAAGTAGAAAAGAATGGAATTGTTTTAAGAATGGGAAGTTAAAAATAGGGTTTAAAAGCATTGGTTGAAAACTCACCAGAGAAGGAAAACCTGATTAGCGCCAAGTAAAATATGCAACAAACATAAAAGCAAAAGGTAGAGTGACTATTTTGTCCTTTCTTAGTGCTTCACAATATAGAAAGTGACGGCGCTTAGACATACTTCAGGTTACATTTTGCGACTGTGTAGACAGCGAGTAGGTACGCGCAACACACGTCCCAGCTGCCTGAGTCAATGAAAGTTCACAATCACACTAACTGACTTTTCTCTTTTGCCTAAAACTCGAAGACTCAGTTCCATGTTGCTGATGTGGTGACACCACGACACAAACTGCTATGAAGGCAACGGTGATCAAATACCTGGAGCCTTCTCATGTCGTTCATCACTAACAGGCATGTTTCACAGTCATCGAGCAGGACAGAAAAAAATGCAGGGGAGTGCACTTGACTGCTAATAGACAGTCGGAAATCCTACCAGCCAATCAAGCCCTATGGATTTTTGCCAAGATTTTGTTGATTGCTGACCCACTAATGCAGATCCGACCTCTCAAATACGAGAATTCGTTACGGCACCTAACCACTTCACTGTCTACTTCCATACAAAGTATCAACACAAACCAGTCTCGAAAAAACATTTTACATTTGGATCATGAAAAATACACTTCAAATATTCTCAGATTATGGTTAGTTGGTTCGGGGTAATCAGCAGGAAGCCCTACACCTAGGTTTTGTGCTTGATGGCACTCATCAACAAAGTATATTTGCAACCTTGAGAGGACTGATTCCTCTCCTCAGGTTTGAGCCCACGTCACCTAGTGCTGCATTCAGAGACCTTACCACTGAGGTATTTCAGCCACGATCAACCTACTTTAGGATTTGTTTACATGTATTGATTAGTCATAGAAAAGTAAACAGCTTTATGCTGTCTAGTCCTAAGTGCCGACTGGATTTGAGCGACCACTTTCCAGTTTGGTCAACTAGATAGAAGATTCACCATCGCAATGCTCTTTGTTTGCCACTCACGATGCCTAGAAGAGAGCTCTATTATAGTTCTACTAAGAAGGCACTCGAGTTCCAACCAGTGAATCATATGTTCGGAAACAGTTGTTTCACCTGTTGAAATTTGAACAACCGCATAGTAAGATTAGAACTTACACAACATATGTGGTTCACTGCCAGCTGCATAAATGTGCATGTGGCTACTTAATGCATGTTTCCGATTTCTCCAGTGACTGTGTCAATACCCGTTAAGTCAGACGAGGACAGAGGAGACTCCATAAGTACATCCATCACAAAATTACTCAAAATGAAGACAGTAGACAACCTTGACGGATTCCACTATACGTATACAAAACGCCTGATACCTGACCATTGGTTTCAACATGCTCACAAATGCTCGAATACAGACTTATGAAATCAACGTAGAACCTCGCAGACAAGTGGATCGGCTCAAGTTACCACAATTCACAGTAGTACAAAAAGAACAGATGGATAGAAAACGAGTGATATCAAAGAAGATCAAGTAGTGTGGGAGAATAAATAACCTGAAGATAACAGTTAGTGCGAATATTCAGGCTTTATATGTCAAGGAGTGAATACATCTGCACCATTGTCACCGATTTTCGGCCGGGTCACCAAAAGTCCTCAATCACTAATTTCTTTCGTCTCGGGGACCCCAACAGGTAGAGTCTACATCTTCCTCATACAACTCAGATCAACAGTTGGAGACTTCATCGACTGGTGCCAGGTTTTGGTCTGGCCATCCTGAACCCTCTATCAAACTAATCTAGCTTCCACAAGCATGGCACATCAAGGTAGGCGGTGGCTCAGCATGCACAAGGTTTAAATCACAGATGTCTTCGTAGCATTGCTCATGTTTGGTGGGATTACCGAGTCAGAAATGTTGAGGTCAGGCGAGTGGTACTAAGCAAGACAGGCAATTCGATTGATGATGTTGTGAACCTCAATCGACTGCTAAGACGCTTCAGCAGACACTGCAATAAGACCTCTCGATCAATAGAGTTGAATGCCACCTTCAGATCAGGAAATACAGGTAGTGGCAGGTAGTGGTAAGTGCAACTGTTTTACAAGATCCGGTGGAGAGTAATGAATGTCTATCTGGTCGATACACTCACAACCAAGTTTGAATCATCATCATCATCATAATCAACATAGGACCAGGCATTACTGCGTAACGGTCCGAGTTGCCACACCTCATATCAGCACATCAAGTAAAAAGGTAGTGAGGTGAAGGATGAAGATAAGTGAATGCAGTCAAAAGAAATATAAAGTACGAGAAGAAAGGAAAGAGGAGTGACAAAATAGTGAGATTCGGTATAGCGTTGTTAAGATGAGGATAATGTGTGTATACATCTGCGCCACTGACTTCGGTTCTGAGCCATATCACCTAGGGTCTCCAACCACTGGTTCCTCTTGTCCCGTGGACCCCAACCACCTAGTCTGCATCGTCCTACATGGCTTAAACCAACAGTCAGAGACTTCATACATTGGTGCCATGTTTTAGTCTGGCCACCTCGGGCCTTTTTCCAGCCTGAACCCACTTCAGCCAACATTGTGTGACGAGGCAATCGGTGACTAGGCATACGTAGTACGTGTCCCAACCATCTCAGTCGATGAAGGTTCACAACCTCGTCAACTGACTTACCTCTTCTCCCCAAAACTCTACACCTAACTTCTGCATTACTCACGTGGTGACACCACGGAATACGTCCTATATTACGAAGGCAACGGTGGTCAAACACCTGAAGCCTTTTTGTATCCTCCACTTTCAATGGCCATGTTTCACAACCATACAGTAGAACAGAGCGGACTGCTGTGCAGTACACGCGACCCTTAATAGACAAACGAATATCACGGCGGCGCCATAGGTGGCGCAAATTGGCAAAAGCCAATCGAGCCTTTTGTATCCGTGCAGAAATCTCATCGGCAACTAACCCACCGGGTTTGATCCTACTTCCCAGGTAAGTGAAGTGGTCAACACACTCAACCACTTCACTCTCTATTGTTAACCGCGGTACCGCTGAAGACCAGTCCTGGAGCAAAAATTTGCATTTGGGTGGTGAAAATCGCATCCCAAACATTCTCAAATTCCCACTCAAAGTGTTCAGAAGACTCTGCATCTTGTCAGCGTCTTCACCCAAAAGGACTATGTCATCTGCATATTCTAGATCTAAGGAAAATTCACCTGTGATCCGGTCAACGTCTTTGTAATTAGGTGACGAGAGGGAAACCTCCATAAGAATATCTATGATAAAATTAAATAAGAATGGGGATAGTGGGCATCCTTGACGGACACCACTTGATGAGTATAGCTCCCTGGACAACTCACCATAGGCTCTAACATGCCCACAAGTGTTCGAGTAGAGAGCTTTCAATAAGGTGATGTACTTACTAGGCACGCCTTTCAGTGAGAGACACTGCCATAAGACTTCTCGATCAACGGAGTCAAATGCCGCCTTCAGGTCGAGAAATACAGCTATTGTCGGGCGTCTGTAAGCATGCCTATGTTCCAGGACCTGGCGCAGTGTGAATATTTGGTCGATACATCCACGGCCAGGTCTAAAGCCTGCCTGGTTTTCTCGGGCTTGCTGTTCCCGAGCTCCACTCAGGCGTCGGAGAATTATAGAACTTAGGATCTTAGACACTATGTTTGTCAGGCTGATTCCTCTGTGGTTATCACAAGAGGACTTCTCGCCTTTCTTGAAGACTGGGATGATCAGTGACTTAGACCAGTCGGAGGGGATCGTATTTGATTCCCATATACTGGCTAACACTTCCGTTAGCCTGACTAAGAGAACTCTACCACCATTCTTGTATACCTCAGCAGGTAGTCCGTCTGGTCCTGCTGCCCTTCCCCGTTTCAGGCTACCTACCGCTTTCTCAACTTCTTCTAGTGTTGGGGGACCTGTCTCTATGTCCCATTCAGGGTCCGACTGGATAGCGGGCAGCGCAATGGTGGCTGGAGGCCAGTTAAACTGTTCCTCGAAGTGTTCTGCCCATCGTCCCAGCCGCCTTCCCTGCGAGTGAATCGCAGATCCGTCCTTCTCCGCTATAACCTCACTAACTGTTGTTGACCATTTCCCCCCAGTCTCCTTAATAAGTCTAAATAACTGTCTACTGTTACCGATCGCCGCTGCCTTTTCCATCTCTTTAGCCTTTGCTGCCCACCACTGTTCACGATCGTTGCGCAGACTTTTCGTCAGTTTATTTTTAAGTTGCGCTCGCTCTTCATTGTACTCAGAGCCTGCAGGGATGCATTCACGTGCATCCATTAGTTTGGAAGAAGCTGCTGATATCCACTGGCTCTTTTTAGCCATTATCTTGGAGTCGGCTACAGTCTCCAGTGCTGCTTTTACAGTAGACTGAAGATGGCACCAAGCTTCTTCTGGATGAGTGACAGTCTTTTGTTCCGATAACTGCCTAGCCAACTTCTCACTGAACACGGCTTTGGTGTTTTCGTTGTCCAGCAGAACTCGTAGTGGTTTTGTTGCCAAATTTTTTCTACGTCCATTGAGACGCAGGCATATACGTGCTCGGACCAACGCATGATCGCTGTCCAAACACGTACTCCAGAAGGAGCGGCAGTCTTCCACCGATCCTCTCCAGCGATGACTAATAGCAATGTGGTCTATCTGTGTCCATCGCTGAGTCGAGCTCGGTGGACGCCAGGTCAGACAGTGCCTTTCTTTATGTCTGAAATTTGTGCTGGCTAAAAATAGGCGGTTATCTGAGCATAGTTGTAATAGGCGATCACCGTTATCTGTACGTTCAGCTGGGATTCCGAAAGTGCCACCTAAGTGCCTTTCTGCCTCACTCAGTCTACCCACCTGTGCGTTGAGGTCACCTGCAACAACCACTACGTCCGAACGTTTGGCTTTCGAGAGGAGGTTAGACAGTTTATGGTAGAACTCGTCCTTCACTTCATCCGAACTACAGTCAGTGGGTGCGTAAGCAGAGATTACAAAGAGACAACGGCGAGTCTCACTATTCCTTTTAGTTCTCACTGTGCCGTTCAGCCTCATAGCGCAGAGGCGACTATCAACTGGGATCCAGTCTAGTAGTGAGTTTTCTGCCCTGGTGCTTAATGCTATACCTACACCTGCAAGACCACGAGAGCTAGCTATCGAATCTCCAGAAACTCGAAGGGTGAATTTTGCAGATTCACCAGATTGGTCAGGAGAGGTCAGGTGAATAACCACACTTGGGTCCTGTATGCGTGTCTCACAAACACAGCACACATCCATGCCCCGAGTTGCTAGAGTCTTTGCCAACGAAGCCTGTTGGCCAATTTGACGGAGGGTGCGGACATTGAAGGCTCCAATATGTAATTTGGAGCGTGGTTTAAGGAGACCAGGGATGCTGTTCTGTGGACTCAGATCGTTGTCGAAGGCTGCAGAGGTAGGAGAAATTGAAGATGATGCAGCATCATTAATTAAGAGACGTGAAGGAAGATTAGAAGGTAATGATGGAGGAGGAGGATAGCAGTCAGAAGAAACTTGGGTGCTGACAGAGTTGTGAGGGCGGTTGACACTTCCCGGCTGCCCACACCGTGGAAGGCTATTTCTTCTTAAGGTACCTGAAAGAGATTTGTGTGACCGCAGAGCCCATCGGACATCTGCTTGAGGCCTGTCACACCCAGCCTTTTGAGTATGATTATTTTGAATTTTTGTATTTTTGGGGCCGGATGAGCGAAAGGAAACGACAAGTGAACCAACACCGCCGGCCCGGCAGACCGTGGGGCGTGGTGGAGTGTGTTATTTTTGGGGCCGACCTTTTCTAACCCCCCCTTCCACTGAGAAGGCAGCATCAGCTTGGCACTGCTGGTCATCCAAGGGAAACACCTTACTGCTGTCACACCCCATCCAGCTAGCAGCAGTACGACTTCGCCCTCAGACCCCCATCATAGTGTAGCAATTTACACTATAACGGTAACTGCTTTTCGTCTAACCACTACCCAACAGACCTTTCTGGTATGGTAGGACCTCGAGGGAACAAGCGTTCCACCAGCATAGCTCGTTGGGTCATTGTGATATGCAAGCCCGACCACCACGTCAAGGTAGCAGCTATCGGTCGGGACCAAGTTTGAAACCCACCTGTTGTTCCAGTGCTTGCTCAGAGACCTAATGATCACAGAACCTAAGATCTTAGACACTATTTTCGTCAGGGTGATTCCGCTGTGATTACTTTAAGAGGATTTCTCTCCCTTCTCGAAGACGGAGATAATCGATTATGGATTTAGACCCCCCCCCAGGGGGGACCATATCTAATTAACATACGCCAGGTAACTCCTCGGTCATCCTAACCAATAACCCTCCATAATTGTCCTTAAGTACCTATGCTACGAGCCCTTGCAGACCTGGTGAATTATCTGTTCCACTCAGTATCCAATGAGATAATGGGTAGTTAAAAATCGGCTGGAGGCCAGTTGAACTGTTCCTTGAAGTGTTCTGCACATCTTTCTGGCCGTTTCCCCTACAAGTGAATCATAGTGCCATCCTTCTCCGGTATCGTCTCACTAAACACAGACTTTGTTGCTCCAGTTCCTATATGTCTAAACTATCTACGTAGTTTATATTCAAACATTTTCCACATCAAAAGTAAATTAGCAGTAATTATTGAGATCTGCAACCTATGCACATCTTATGTTTTAGGATAACAATATTTGTAGACAACAAAACAGAATCTAAAATAAATTTCTCTTACTTTAAAGCGCTTAGTAATTCCGATAACTTTGCATAGTGTGTTTCATGACGAGCGATTAAAAGCTGAGCATTAAACCCTTTCTTTTCCACCTAAACAGGTATCATATCAATTGATGTAATTATATACACAAGATGAAGCATACAGATTTTCTCAACTGATCATCATTAAGATAGTTTTCAGATGACTTTTCACAATCATATTTAGACAGCTTAGCCAATATTAAAGCAGTTCGTGGTTTGAATATCGGTGACTGTCCTGATGCGACGTTAAGAGATCTGTATATATTTCTAAAACCTCCAGTATCAGTAATTCGAATAAGCAGACGGCATGAGAACATATCCTGTACAAACAAAAATGATGGGGAAGAAATGAAAACACAGCCAGTTAGCCCGATAAATATTCGGTGGACATGAATATTTTATCTAATCGAAAAATCAGATGAAAAATAATAAGAATTCATCGAAAAGTAAATTTACAAGTAATTTCAGCTAGGTCAAAGAAACAGAAATAAATAGAAGAGTAAGAGAGTGACTTTGCAAAGCATATAACGTGAGATAGTATTGATCAGTCTGGTAATATTTTTTATCGGTGCAATGATGATAAAAGGTGGAAATGCTTATCAAACACTGTGTTTAACGTAATTCTAGAAAAAAAGAGTGAATGAGATCTAACACCTACATGTACCAAAGTAAGGTAGGTTCTCAGATCTACTGTCTTGTAAACAAGATACGTATGCAGCTTTCCGCAAGATTCACAACAGATGCAATTTGAACAGAAATCAACAAATGATTACGGAGGACTTTAAAGGCCACCCTAGCAACTGCTGAGCAGATCAATCTAGCGTCGATATTTCACCTGGAAAAGTACTTTTCCATAAAATGAGTGTGACTAGCTGTCTCACTAGTTACTAGGATGGCCTTTAAAGTCACTTGTTAAATGAAGGCCTCAAAAACGCCTGAGGTGCCCAGCTGTCTTTAGGCTTCCTAAACATTGTTACCATAGTAAAAAAAAGTAGTCGGTGTGACTGAGACCAGTTATTATTGCCTTAATTTAATCACATCGCTGGTTTTAAAGAGTCTAGCTACTCATACGTGCTAGTTTTTACTTATATGTCACTTTTTCATTAGGAGGCCGTTTTAGAGTTACGGTGAAATGTGCTACTTTGCACTTTTATCAGTCTCTGAGTTGTCACATGAAATCAGCTAGCTACTTTTACGTAAAATATGTATAAAGCTTTCACTGGTAGGGTAAAGTTTTAGGATAAAATTTCGAATTTTAAAATTTAAGGTGTAGTCAATCAACTTATTCTTAGATAAGTATCAGGCTATATTTATCACAGCAAAGAGAGATACAGCCTTTCACTAAACATAGGATATTAGCTGCCCCGGAATCCCATGGTATCCGTTCACAGCCTCTGCCAGAAAAGTCCTATTGACTGCCTTCACGTGACGAGTGTGTTTTCCACAGAAGTGAAAGGGTGAAAATGAATGTTTAGCGCTTATCACCGGATTGCTGTAGACTGGCGGTCAACTTAAGGGAGTTGGAAAGCTCTAATTCCAAACCAGTGGTGCACATGGCCTAAAGGTTCCAGATAGAATGAATGGCATATAAACCCAGTTCCGTCACCAGTAACTACACGAACGCACCTCCTGCTGATGTTTCCACATCGTCTTGTGGATAAGACCTTAAGCCAAAGGCTCAGAGAGTGCTCCCATAAAACAACCAACTGCTTCCATCTGCGCCCTAGAGCAGTATCTACGCCTTCACATAAAATATGAATTTACAATATACAATGAAGATTTTGAAGCGCTCACCCAACTTTTCTACAAATATTCAGCCCCTCCACTCCGCAAACGATATAACTAATTGTTCAATTTCTTCTCATCATATTACTTTGTTGTCTTCACACATGAACTGTATTTTTTTATTATCTTGTCTTCTTCACTTCACTGCACTACACTACACTACACTCAGCTGCTCTCCACTGCTTACACTTATGGTCTGTCTGTACCATGTTGAGTTGATGAACATCTGCCTCCATAAACCTGTCTTCCAGTGTGATATCTGACACAGCTATTCTGAAACCACGCGTACCGTTTAAGCTGACCACGTTTCAATGTTTGCACCTTGATGCAGATCGGACAACAGGCAAGTTTGTCTAGGACTCTGGAAAGTCTCGTTATTGATGTATGCTTCATCTTGGAGACCAGCATGCGAGATCCCAGTGAAGTGCTTCCGACTAGTTCTGCATTTGTCAACTCGAAAAGAATGTTTCATGTGCACTTATCCGGGGACCCTGTGGCATCTGCAACCGGCATCGCGCTAAGCGCCCAACTGGATTCCCATCAACAGTCGTCTGTGTGCTGTCAGACTTGAAGGTTCACCTCGAGTAAGAAGTAACTGGCAAGAGAAACAATGTCTCTTTGTTATCTCTAGCTATGCTCTGATCGTGGTTCTAGCTGGGCACTTGAATCAGCAGGTTGGGCGTCTAGGTTCAGAGAAGAGTCGTTAGTGTGGCCAATGGGGATTAGTTAGCCGCAGGTGGGATAATGCTGATCGTCTTTTGCAGGTTAGTGGAGATCACAACATATTTCAAGATGGCGCCAACTTCCGACACAGCCATCGCCGTTGTGCTACTTCGCATCCTCCTTCTGCCACTCAAGCCCAATCAATAGCTGCTACCTTGAAGCGGTGGTTGAAATCGCTTATCACAATGACCCAACGAGCTATGCTGGTGTAACGCTTGTTCTCTAAAAGTCCTATCATAGTAGAAACGTCTGCTGCATAGTGGTAAGATGGAAAGCAGTCACCATCTTAGTACAAATTACTACACTACGATGGAGGTCTGAGGGCAAAGTCGTGCTGCTAGAAGATGGATGGGATGTAACACCAGTAAGGTGTTTCCCTTGGATGGCCAGCAGTCACACGCTGATGCTGCCTTCTCCATGGGAACGACTGGAGCGTTTGAAAAGGCCAGTCTCATAAATAACACATTCCACCATATCCCATGGTCTCCCGGTGCTGGCAGCATGGGTCCTCTCTCTATCAAGCATTACAACAACTGAGTCTTAAAATAAAAACACTCAATAGGCTGTGTGTGACCGGCATCAAGCAGATGTCCCATGAGCTCTGCAAACACAACAATCTTTTTCTCTTTCAGGCACCTTAGGAGAAAATGGCCTTCCACGGTGTAGGCAGTCGAGAATTGTGAACCACCTGCACCATTCCAGTAGTACACAAAACCCATACCCCTTAACTGTCTCCTCATTCGCTTTCACCTCCTGATACTAACATTACGTCTCTTACACATCCCCAAACCTCTCACTCTGCAACCTTTGTCCACGATCAAAACCATCATCAAAGTGTCATTCTTAGTCTCATAAGACCCTGTCACCGACTTCATATACAAGCTTTCAATATCTGAACTTCATCCCAACTCGGACACCAAGCATTGCTCACCAGAACTCTGGGATCTCTAGTCATAGATGTATGTTGTTTCTCTGAGACATCTATACAGAATCCATGTCCGTCTGTTAAATTGACATCACCTGGCCCCAGTAGTGAATCTTCGGAGTTCACCTTACCAGCATCCGGAGACCCACTGGCTAGCTCTTGTCGACTGGCTGGTGCACGCATAGCATTGAGTTGTAGGGTAGAAAGTGCGCTTCTCGATTGGATACCAGGTGATAGATATGTGCTGTTCGATTGGATCAATCTGTTAGGAGTGCGAAGTATCATGAGACAAGGCAATGCTTACCCACTAACAGACTACAGTTCCGAAGCAAAGGATGAATTCTATCACCAACTGAAAGTAAAGCATTCAGATGTAGCCATAATGGCAGGTGACTTTAGGGCTTAAGTCAATCGAAGAGGCATCTAGGAGGCATTTAAGGAGTCCCATGCCAACGAACCGACAACAGTGATCGTCTGTTGCAATTTTGTTCCGATAAACACTTGTTTCCGGTCAGCACTAACTTCAAGCATAAAGAGACACTCTCAAACGACGTTCACCGACTTCAAACCAACGATGGACACAGATAGATCATATTGCTATAAGGTATCGTTGGGGAGGATCGGTGAAGGTTCGCCGCTCTTTCCGGAGTACCAGTTTGAACTCCGATCACGTGCCGGTAAAAACTCATGTATGCCTGAGCCTTGCTGGCCACGAAAAGCAGGAGGTAATCCCCGATTGGTAGGTGAAGATGCCAAGTAGGCATTTAGAGAGGAGTTAGCTAAGCAGTTATCTGAATGTAAAAGCAATGCTCATTCTAAGAAAAAATGGCGTGATATTAAGTCTGCTGTAGAAACAGCGATAAAGCAAACTTTGAAGGTTAGCAAACGTCATTGGATTTGCTCGACGTCATTCGAACTGACTGATGCGAGAAGACTGATTCTAGCTGGTTCTGATCACGATGAAGAGCGAAAGCAACTCGAACGAGTTGACCAAGAGTCTTCGCATCGATCGTGAGCAGTGGTGGGTGGCAGAAGCGAAAGAGATGGAGAATGCATCAACGGTTTATTAAAGAAACCAGCAAGAATAGGACGATGGTTAGTGAAACCATCACCGAAAAAGGTGGGACGCTGATGGCCTTTCATAACAAGTAGCTACAGCGCTGGGCAGCACACTTTGGGGTACAGTTCAACTGGGCCTCAGCAACGCTTCGCTTGCCGAACATTCAGCCTGAACATGAATGGGAGGTAAATGTCGGTCATCCAACTCTTCTTATAGTTTAGAAAGCTATATCGAACTTGAAACGATGAAAAGCAGCTGAATCTAACGGTTTACCCCCGAAGCTTGAAAAGATGGAGGTAGGAAACTGCTACTTAAAGTGGTTGAAGTACTAGTTGGTGTATAGGAATCAGAGGTGGTCTCGTCAGACTGGCCTACTCCTCTGATCATTACAGTCTATAAGAAGGGAGAGAAATCTTATGATCACTGGGGAATCAGACTAACGAATATACTGTCCAGGATCCTTTACTACACAGTCATCGGATGCCTAACGTTAGCTAGAGAACAGCGAAATCAAGAGAACCAGACAGGTTCCAGACCTAGACAAGGGTGCATCGATCAGATTCCCACCAACCAACAAGTTCCGGAACACAGGAATACTTTCCGGTGACTGACACTTGCCATGTTTCTTGATCTGAAGGCGGCATCTGACTCAGTCGACCGTGAGGTGTTGTGGTAGTGTCTGACTGTAAAGAAAGTACCAAACAAGTAAATAACGCCAGCCAAAGCTCCCTTACTCGAACTCACTCAGCCGTGTAGGAGCTTATGAAGAGTTGTCATGTGACAACACTGACGACAACTAGCGGTGCTTGTCAGAGATGTCCACTGTCACCGTTCCTATTTGACTTCGTCATAGACATACTAATGGACATAATCTTAGGAACGTTTGACTTCATAGGGATTGGCCTACCCCTTGGAAATAGTCTAGTTGACTTGAAGTATACAGACGATACTGTCCTGATAGGTGAAGATGCCAACGCAGTGTAGAGTTTTCTGAAGGCGTTCAGCGGAAATCTGAGTGTTTGGCTGGCATGCATTTCGCACCTGTAAAATGTTAAATGATGCTCCAGGACTGGTCTGGAGCTACTCCCACTTTAAGGATAGGAAGTGAAGTGGTAAAATGAGTCTGCCACTTCGCTTGGGATGCTGCGTCAGCTCGATCAGGCTGGTTGCTGACCAAGTGACAGGTGGAAGAAAGAAGGGCAGTTTGACATTTGCATACCTGCGTTACCTCAAGCACCGGTTGGTGAAATACCCGAATATCTATCAAAAAACGGGTATATTGCGCTGCAGTCCGTCTGGTCCTGTTATACGGTTGTGACATGACCGTTAAAAATAGAAGAGATGAAGCGGTTAGAGGGTTCTGACTACAGGCATTTTCGTATAATTGCTGGCGTTTAGTGGAATCACCACGTTAGGGATGTAGAGGTTCGGGGAAGAGTAGTAGGCACAAAAGGGACGGCTACCGATCAGGTTGTGAACCGTCAGCGACTGAGGTGGCTTGGACGTGCGTTGTACATACTGAGCTACTGCCTCCTCCAACGTGCCATGCTAGAAGTTAGATTAGGCTGCAAGCGGGTTCACGGTGGCCAGACCAAGACGTGGTGCAAATGCGCGAAGTCGGTGGTTTTTGGTTTGAGCCGTGTAGGAAGATGTAGACTATCTGTCTGAGGTCCCCGAGACGACAGGAATCAGTGGTTGAGCACTTTTGGTGACATGGACAAAAATTGGGTCACAGTGGAGCAAATGTATTCCCTCCACGATATCTTCTGAACCAAGAAAATTTTTACTAACCTTCATCTTCAAATTGTTTATTCTCTTATACACTTTCTTGAGTTTGAAATCAGTCTTTTTTTATCCATTTGTTCTCAGAATGCTAATTTAAAATGTGCCAACTTTAACCGATGCATTTGTGTGCGAGGTTCCACGCTGATTTTGTCTGCTTGTCTGTCTTTTTATCAGTAAGGGATTCAGAAGAGTTGGGTGAATCTAATCTATTCAAAGTTGAGTGTGGTTCCAACTAAGTCAACGGACGGAGCTGTAATTACTGCGACCAGCATTGCCGAAAATATCCCGACAATGAGTTCACTGCACGTCACAAGAGAAGTAGTCTTTCAACTACTGAGCAGTCTCAAACCTTAAAAATCTCCCGCTACTGATGGCTTGCACCCAAGTTTGTTATTTTCCTTGGTAGACATTACTCCCAGGTCGCTTACTGAACTAGTCAGTGTGTCTTTATGTCAGGACCGGCTTCCGAGACTGGAAAGATACCGTAGTCAGCCCAGTCTTCAAGATAGCCGATAGACAGGTTAGCCTAACTAGCATAGTTATTAAATTACTCTAGATTTCGTGATAATGGATCTTGCTTAATAAATCTTATAGCAAGAGAAGAATGGGCAGCAACTCGTGACAATAGTATGCCAGTAGATGTTATGTTCACTGACTTTAGCATGGCTTTCAACAAGGTTTCGGACATTGGGTTAAAGAATTCTATGGAATACAAAGCAAAGAGTGAGTGGATAGAACACTAAGTGGTAACCTGAGGAATGAGGTTCTCCAAGGTACAATCTTCGGACCTCTCCTTTCCTTGCTTTATGTGGACGAAGTCCCTGATATGATTAAGTTCATGGTGTTATTATTTGCTGATTTTGCGAAAATATGGAAGATTAATCATAGCAACAATGACATGTGCACTACAAAGAGACCTAGTTGAGATATTCAAGTGGCCAAAGCATCGGTATCTAGTAGTCAGTTCTAGCAAACTTGCAGTTAACTATACTGGTAGGAGCTGTCATCAGTATCTAACAGATTGCATACCAGCACCTGATATCCAAGAAATCAAAGACTCGCGAGCTTTAATCAGTCACGACTTGATGGCATTCGCACACTGCATTGAAGAGGTTTTGGGTACTGTGATCTCTCCGATGTTTCGGATATTATACCCACACCCTTTTGTGACGTCACCTTGAATATTGCAATCAAGTGGCAAGTCCTTGCTTCGTAAAAAGTCCTAAAGCACTGGAGTGCATCCAAAGACTTTGTATTAAGTTGGTGGCTGACCTACCTAATTTATTCCTTGAGGACCGTATATAGACTAAATCTTTCCACGTCAGATAAATATTAGCGTTCCACATCCTTAAAACTGAATCTGGGATTGATGTCTTATTTCTGCTCTTCTTTTCGGACCAATTATTTCCGAAGGCACCATAAAGAAATTCAAAAGCGATGGTCAAATCAATTTGGTGTGAGATATCAACGACAGAAACTTTTTATTGCAAACAGTGGTATCAGCTCCCTAGTTACACGCATTAAAGAAAATACGTTTTTACAGAGAAACCTACTGCAAAGATTAACACACGCCAAAATGGCCTACATTCCAAATTACTTCAGCTGCTTGAAATTAATTGCCAGCAACTCACAAATATCTAGTTAGTTTCGTTATCAACCAGATAAGGTTTTACGTTCATATCTGATGAAGGCTTACGTTGTGTTCTTTTCCGTTAGCACTAACTTCGATCGCACTTCGTACGTTTTGGGTAGAAACTCGGAAACCTTACTTTGGGCTGAAATCGGGGGACGCACGAAACTCCCCAAAAGTGTCAAACGTTCAGACTGGAAGGTTTAAAGTATGAACAGACCCGAAATTCGGTAATTGTGCCCGAATTACGTTAGAACTGAGATCCGAAGTTTACAAAGTGAGCCCGAAGTAAATGCTAGCTGGTTTGGAAAAATCCTTAGAGACTTACGTCAATTAAAGTAAATTGAACAGCAGTAATAACCGGGCTGGCATAAACTTAGGGCTAACTTTGGCAACAAAATGATTATGTTAATTAACATTTTTACAACTGAGATTTTTGTCAATTAAAATCCCATAGGCATCAGAGACCATAAGTTACGGCGACTTTATCATATCAGGCCCTTCTGAAAATTGCTCAAACCACCGATAAAGTTTCGTTATTTCAGGCAAAAAGGTAATTTTCCACAAAATGGAGAAGTCTAACTGATTATCTCAGCAGTTGCTGGGGTGGACTTTAAAGTCATACCTTGAAAACTTTCAAACAGGCGTTCCCGAACGGCCTCAAAATGACCTAGAAGCAGGCCACAGGTTGTTTAGAAAGGTTGGAAACGAGATGATAGAATCTTTCGCCTAACTACCAATCATCTCTACAAGGAATAAAGAGAACGTTCTCATGGTTCTTCAGACATTCAACATCTATGACAAATGTGTGTCAAACCGGTAGCTTTGATCATTCGATCCTTGTTTTAAAGCTTTGATTACTATTGTCCACTTTTTCTCCTGTATTTGGAACAACAAGCGCTTCAGCTTTCCTGATTTTAGCCTTGCTGATGTGACTTTTTTCTGTGGATTTAACTTGCAGCTTGTAGATTAGGTTGGTTAAGAAGTTGGGGCTTCCTGTGAGGATTAATGATCGTTTGTGGCACGCATATGTATGGCTGCCTGAAAACGGACAGCTGAATGAGGTCAGAAAAGATATGAGATATTCCGCAAGAGTATACACAGGCAGTACAAGTTCAGTCACCACATGGGTTTTCGAATAAAAAATAGACAAATCAAAATATACAGTAAGCAACACATAAACAGATGACACTATCATGACTGTAGAGGGTTGGTGATTTCATTAGTGCCCTGAGCACATCGCTTAGCAGACCATAGGAGCTAAAATAGACGCCTGACTATCTTATAGTGGTTCGGCTGAGTTGGCTTGACTACGCTTCACGATGCAACGTCCTATAAATATGCGAGAGCCTAAAGTATCTACATTTGTGCCATAGTCTGTCGGTATTTTTTCCCCTATCGAACGGATGTCTTTCTGTGTATCACTGTTCTTTCTCGAGGCGACTGAGGTCACTCTTGGGTATTGTGTATGTTGCGAAGCCAAGTGTTTTAAGATGCGCCTTTACATTTTGAAGTCTGCTACGAAGAGTTTCGGTGTGAAGGTACTGAGAGAACTGAAATGTTGAACGGTATTCGCTCTTGCCGTCTGTCTTTTACAGTTAGAACTAGTGTTCGCAATGTGGAGGATATTGAAGCCGACTTCCTTTACCAAAAACTCTTCGATGGTGGTGCGGTTCGTGAAGTTACATGTGTTCATGTATCACTGGTCTCGCTTCATGAGTGCCGACGCACATTACCTTGTATTTTTCCGACTGAGGCACAAGCGGATCTCTGACACCAGAAACCTTGTTACTGTATGTCATTCTGAGGTACTTTGCAGTCAGTTTTCTCACCTAGCACCCTCCAAATCCTGATGTGGTCTATAAGAGTAAGATTTGTGGGAACCGTGGTCCCAGGACTTTTTCTGGGCAACCCGAAACGTAGATGACATCTATACTGATCGTGACCTGTTCACCTTGAAACAGAACTGAATATCTTACTCATGCGTCTCGAATTAAGTAAGCAGAGATACATTTCTGACTGGCCGCATAAATTTATGAACAGCGCTGTCGTGCCGGGCGCTGGCGGATGCTTTTTCTGAGTCAAGAAAGATGACACCCTCTTGTTATGACAACTGGTGGCACACGTGTTATCATTTAGGGGTCCGCAAAAGTCAACTCCGATGACCATGTGCGGCAGAATGAACGGTCTTTTTCCCGTTAAAAACTCCCACGAATTATCTGATATGAAGCTATGCGGTTTTTTGTACAGAACTCGGAGTTAGTCGGTCCGTAGTTGGCAGGGCTTTTCTCATTTCCTCCTTTGTAATGGAGCAACGAGATGACACATATCCAGTCTCTTGAGAGTTTACACGACTTCAGCGCACGCTTGAAAATTCTAGGATTACTGTTACTACTTCTCCAGCCCAGTTCCTCAAACCATCGACCTCAGACCGTCTCATTCGAAGAAATTTCCCCGACGGAGTTCAGATAACCTATAAAATATCTTACTGTTTGTGGTCGGGGTGTGGCATAGGTTTCCTTGCCCACTAATCAGCTGGGAGGCATTCCTCACCGATTTAAGATCAGAAACTGTAGTGGACATTTCATGTCGTAAGCCAAGAAGCTCTACCTGCCCCAAAGTGCCCAGTACATTTCTGCCTGAGCTTCTCATAAGATCGACACCTTTGATAACAAGTTTTCTTTTCAGAATAAAGTGGTAGACTTCTTAGGGTTACCTATCAATCCCGCCACCAACTTAGACCGATGGGTGGATCTCCTACTACAACCTTCCACGCTGCACTGGTGATCGAGTCTTTTGGAATTTGAAAGATCCGATCCTTCAGGTGACAAGCACCACTTACACAGGGCTGGCTTTTTGGCCTGAAATAGTCTGTCTGGTCCCTCCGTTAACCATGAGGTTCTCAGTGATAGCTGGCGTGCAGATCCCCTAACACTGACTGGCAGCTTTAAAATTTATTCCTTTCACCTCCGCCTAACGCTCGTCTATTTCGGGAGGTCCCAGTCCTCGTGCCGCGAAGCGCTGGGCACGTAATCTCTTATAGCCCCGTGGCTAGTCTGGTTGTAGCAAGGAATGAAAGTTGGTGATAATGGCTACAGAATCTGGTAAACATATCCTTGTCTCAGACGCGCCCCCTTATAGATCGGGAAAGAGCAATAGTCAGCCGTTTTCAAGGCCGGTAGTTGCCAGTTGGTGGCCAGCTGTCGCCATTTGAAATAAATTTAATGATACTGTATGTTACAAGAGTATCGGCTACAGGTAGTAAGATAATTTAAAATATAAAAACGGCTTGACAACACTAGATGGTGGATCTGATGGTAGAGCTCATGGAAACCACCCCTATCTGTGGGGAGTCGAAGAACGGTTGAGGCCTTTGGACGCCTGAAGACACGGCACAACAAAGATAATGAATAGCATTGGGTACCTAGTGACCAGTGCAACAACCTCTTACCTCCTCCATGCCAGCCGCATTACAATGGTTAGCAAAGACAGCAGAAGCCAAGGTGGGAAAGCAGTGATAGCCCACGGCACAGGTAAAGTAGTAGTGGACTAAGACAATGCAGAAATGCTTACGGCAAGGTGGTAGATCTGATGGTGGGTCACTAGACCCAGCATACACCCTTCACCCTCCCCTCCCTTAGGATTATAGTAACCATCTTCCCCTTATCCTGTAGCTACATATCAGAGCTCTACTGGTTCTCAAATGCAAACCGGAGTCACCATCTTCAAGCATTTGTTACACAGCTTAAACTAGGACGTCAGAAATGTACTACATAAGGCTTCAAAAATATTCTACAAGCAGATTACCAGACCATAGAGCCCCTTATTCCTAGTGTCCTCTTTAGATACTCTAGTCTTCAATATTGCTTCCACAAATTCTAAGAAAGCCAACTTCAGTCCTCATGCCTCTGTGTTTCTTTTTATCACCCGATGTGCAGATTACGATGGTGGACCATACCAATCCACCGAGCACCGAGATGCACTTCGAACTTCCATTCAACACGTGAGAACTATCATCCTTTACCACCTGGAGATGCAAAATCACCAGCAGCTAGACAATTCATCACAGACTACAACCTCTCCTGAATACATAGCACCAACTTACGAGAGCAACTAGAGGTGTTGGCATAAAATATCGTGTGCATCCGAATATGCATGTTATTTCAGTCCTGAAAACGAAGCAAACCGAGAGCGACCTCATAGGACGCACCGACCTTGATTATTATTATTTATCCCCTGGGTTCCTAATGGAACATAGGGCTTCAGTAGCACGTCTCCAGTGAACTCTGTTCTCTGAAATCTTTTCAACCTGGCTCCACGACAGCCCACAACCTCCCATTTCCTCCTCGCACGATCTCCTCCATGTTACCCTCGCCACGGACGCCCAACTCGTCACTTCCCGTCGGAGTTCCACTCGAGTGCCTGGCGCGTGATGTCCCCAGCCGGCCTTCTCAGTGTATGCGCAATCCGATCCATCTCCACTTTCTTCTGCATACTTGTTGAGCGATAGCTTCTTGGTTGGTTCGTCACCAGCCAGCCAGCCAGAGTTCCTTGTTGCTTACTCTTAGTATTCTGGCCATCTGATCTTCAGTAACGAGCCAGCGTAGGCAGTTGTTGATAAATGTCTGTGGTTTGTTGGAAATCCCCTTCACAACGCACCAAGTCTCTGAACCATACAGGAGCACCAACTTGACGTTGGTGTTGGAAATCTGGATCTTGTTCCGCATGCTGAGTACAGGAGATCTCCACACTGGTCTCAGGCTAATGAACGCCTGTCTTGATTTCCCGGTCCTGGTTGGCTTTCACATCCTCGTCTGTGCCGCCTGTAGTTGAAACAGTGCTGCCTGCCTAGATAGGTGAAGGAGACCACTTCCTTTAAGCTTCTCCCGTTGATGGTGATTGGAGCTTGTTGTTGTTGTAGGTGGTGTTGGTTGGGTATCTTCATCACCTCCGTCTTCTCTACGTTCACCTGAATGACGTCCCATCTTCGCTGCCTCGCCTCTTCTATCAACTTGTTAGTTTTCGTCTGCAGATCTTCAAGTTTGTGCGACATCACACACAAGTCATCACCGGCGAAATCCAAGTCTCCTAGGTTCTTTTTCGCAGTCCAGCGTATCCCCCTCTTCTCGTTCCCCACTGTTTGCTGCATGATCCAGTCGACTGCAATCAGGAATATCATGGGTGATAGCAGGCAGCCTTGTTTTACTTCTGTCTTCACTTCAAAGGCATCACTGAGTAGTTTTCCATTGTGAATTACTTGGCTGGCATGTGGCGTCTTCATATAGTTGTTGAATGAGGCTGATAAAGGTTTGCGGTATTCCGTAGTGTTGAAGCAGCTGCCTGCCAAATTACTTCTCGGTCGACGCTGTCAAAGGCCTTCTCAAAGTCGATGAAGTTGAGGTAGAGTTGAGTTGACTGCCATTCTATGCTCTGTTCTATGATGATGCGTGCCGCAATGTTGCAATTTGGTCCGTACATAATTTGTACTTCCTGAAGCCAGCCAGCCAGCCTGTTCCGGTCGTAGTTTTGAATCCAGTGCATCCTTTAGTCTTTCCAAGACGATGCGGCTTAATATTTTACTCGCTTTGGGTGGACATGAGTGGAGCTTGATTCCGCGTGAGTTCTTGCAAACACTTAGGTCTCCCTTCTTCGGGAGTTTGACAAGGTGACCCTTCTTCCAATCGCCAGGTACCTTTCCTTCCTTCCTTCCAGACCTTCTGCAGTAGTGGTGTGAGTATGTCCGCTGTTGTTTCTGCATCTGCTCTCAGTGCTTATGGCGGGATTCCGTCTCGTCCTGCTGCTTTCCGACATTTCAGTAGCCTTATGGCGCTCAGGACTCCCACTTTTGTTGGAGGATTTATGTTCACTTGTGGTTCTGTGGCTGCAGGTGGTATTTCTGGACGAAGTGCAGCTGATGGTCGATTCAAGAGCTTCTTGAAGTGGTCGGCCCGTTGTTTCCTTTGTTTCTCCTCTTTGGTAACTAGCTTTCCGTCATCACTTTTTATTGGTTTCATCTGTGTTGATCTCTTCCCTCCCAGATAGTAACCTGGTTATTTGATACAATGTTGTCAGGTCTCTCCTACCAGCAGCCTGTTCTGCTCCACTTGCCACTGTGTCGTAGAAGTGTCTTTTGTCTTTGCACGGACTCTTCTTCACTTCTTTGTCCAGTGTTTTATACATTGTACTCAGTTGCTCTTCTCGTTGTGCATCCTTGCACTAGTTTATCTTCTGCTTCACCATCTTCCTCTCCCTCCTTTATCAGCTTCCATATGTCCATCGAGATCCATTCCTTATCTTCTTTCCTCTTTCTTTTTCCTTCCTAATACGGTTATGCAGGTTTCTTTCCACATAGCTTCCAAAGACTTCCAGTGTTCTTCTACACAGGTTTCTTCAGGGATGTTGCTCGATATCTCCCATTTTGTCTTGATGGCTGACGCGAAGATTTCATTTGTAGTTTCGTCCTTCAGTTTCCGAGTGTTGTACTTGAACTGTGGTCTATCACCAGCTTCCTTGAAGGCTTTTAGCTTGATTCGGAGGTTCCTTGCACTAGACAGTGAGTGGTCTGAACCTACATCTGCTCCTCTTTTTGACCTTGTGTCAAGTAGACTGCGTCTCCATTTTCTTGAGATTGAGATAA